AATCACAGCTTTGGGGACACTTTTCAGAATTCTGGGTCACTCACAGTTTTGGGGCTGCCTCTCCAAACCCTGGGTCAGTCACGATTTTGGGGACACCTCCCAGAACTCTGGGACTGTCACGATTTTGGGGACACGTCCCCGAGCCCTGTGTCCCCTGAGGGGACAGGCCAGCGAGGCTGTGCAGGGACAGGCAGAGGTTAAGAAAGCAGCCCAGGGAGCAGAGAAGGGGGGGGGGGGGACACTGAAATGTTTGTGCTGCTCTCTGTAAATAGAACAGAAATGCCCAAATTTCAGCCTGGTTCCAGCACTGAGCGTTTCCTCCTCTCTGCAGGTGCTGGGCAGCAAACACGAGCCAGGCCAGGGTCAATGAGGATTTTGCAGCTTTGTTTGCTTGGCTGCAAAGGCCTTGGAGTCCAGTGAGTGACCCCACCAAAAGGGAAAATCTCTCAGAACCAGACCCTGCTCCAGACAAGCTTTGCAAAAATCTCAGAATCCCGAGGTTGTTGAAAGTCTTGAGGCTCTCAGTTGATAATCAATAAATAAATAAATTGTTCCCTGGGTTTGGCAGTTCGTGGCCAATTGTGGTTCCAAAGCTTTCCTCCACAACCAAAACATTGGTATTTTTAAAAAGGAAAATACTAAAAAAAAAAAAAAAAAAAAAAAAGGAGAAAACCCTCATTGAGGCCAAATGCTTGGAACTCAAATATTGTGAAACTTCAGGCAAAACTGGGGCAGTTAAAGATGATGCAAGGTAGAACGAGCACGGTGCTGATCCAGTGTCCTCCCTGCAGCCTCACCCAGGGAAAACCAATGAATTAACTGGGGATGAGGATGAGGAAGGAGGCAGTGGAGCTGGGGGATGCTGCAGCTTTGCTTTGCCCTTGGAGAGGCAGCAAAAACACCCCGGGATCCTTCAGGGATGTGGAACCCTGGGCACCTTCCATGGGGAACCTTTTCCTGCTCGAGAGCAGCTCCTGTCGCTCCCTTCCCACCCCGGTTGTCCCAGGGATGTGCTGGAGGATCCCTCCATGGATCCCCTGCTGCTCTGGGCACCCCCAGCTCCTCCCCAGGGTGCTGAGCTGCTCCTTTTTGGCACCCCAGGCTCTGAAATGTGGAGCCTGGTGGCTTCTCCCGCAGTGCTGAGACAAAAATACATTTCCTGTTTAGAGACAGAGAGCGAAGCTCAGCCCTGAAGTGCTCGGGCTTCAAACACTGCCGGGAGCTGCTGGAGCTCCTTCCAGTGCCTTTCCCTCTTTTTAGAGGTGCTTTAGACACAATTAAACAAAGCCCAGCATCACCCCTGACTGGCACAAAAGTTTTTTTAACCATCAGCTCATCGGGGGAGATCCGTCTAAACGCCCCAGTGTGAATTCCCACCTTTGTACCCGAGGCAGCAGCACCGGACACCCCCAGAGTGAGTTTTGTTTTGTATTTCTCGGCCACTTTTCCACCTTGGGATCTGGAAGTTTGGTAAACACTCGGTGCAGCCTCCCCGGGTGGGTGAGGTCGGGTTTGTGCTCTCTGCCTCCAGAAAGGTTTGGGCTCTGAGTCAGCAGTCAAGTCCAGGGCTTGCATTTTCTGTAACACGAAATGGATTTAAAGACACCTCGGGCCGAGCTGGGGCTTCCAGAGCAAAGCAAATCCCCCAGAAAATCGGGGTGTGGAGGGGATTGTCCCCGTGGAGCTGCAGCAGCAGCACCTGAGCTGTCCCAGCTCATCCCAGGCCGAGGCTGAGGCTCCTCCTGCTCCCTGCATCCTCCTTTTCTCTGCCACATGTGATGCTGACAATGTTCTGGTCCATGCCACGAGCCCAGCTTGGCCGGATCCATCAGATTTAGATAAGAGCAGGGCTGATCTCTGCTGGGATCTAATCGGGCAGGAGCAGCCCAGGCAGCCGTTGACTCTGCATTTCCTCTGCTTGATAAATAATTCTACTTTGCAGATCCCCGTGATAGCTCAACCCTGTGTTATTCCGGCCCTGCCTCAGAAAAATGATCCATCTTTAAGCCCAGGACTGGATCTAGTAAAATAATCAGTGTAAATAAGGCCAGGTTTTTGTTTGGGTGCCCAGGTCTGGGCTCCCTGCACTCAGAGTTCCTCATGGAGCCAGTCCTGGACAGCAGAAACAGAGGACATAAAGGTCTGAGAGTGAAAATTCCTCTCTGGAGAGGGAGAACAGAGCTGCAGCTCCAACCCACGGCTGCTTTCCATGGAGGGACGCAGTGCCTGGCTGGAATTTCGAGGGATTTTTGCCATAAAGATTCTTTTATCACCAAGAGTGTGGGTCAGCAGTGCTGGCAGTGCTGCATCACAGGGAAAATGGAATCAGGGGTGGGAGGGCTCTGCTGCCAGGAAAAAGGGACAGGACAAGGGGAAAGAGGCTCAGAGGTTGGAATTTCCTCCTGGAAAGGGTGGTCAGGCCTTGGAAGTGCCCAGGGAGGTTTGGAGTGCCCATCCCTGGGTGTCCAAGGAATTCTGGATGTGGCACTGAGTGCTCTGAGCTGGGGATTGGGCACAGGTTGGATTTGGTAACCCTGGAGGGATTTTCCCACCTAAATAATTCTGTGATCCACAGCAAACCCTCTGTGAGGGATTCCAGCCTTCTGTACTGCTATGAACTAATAAATTTATTCATTTATTTCGTGACTTTTGAGAGAAACGAGGATTTCTGTGACCTCCCTCCCACGTGCAGCTGAGCCTGGAGCTGTCACTGCCCCTCTGCCACCCTCTCAGGGGCATCCAGGAGTGTCCAGCACCACCACAGGCTGTAATTTCTGCTTCCAAACTGTCTCAACCAACATCAGCCAGTGACTCAGAGCCCGGAATAGAAGACTGGAAATTGAAATTCACGCTGCTCCTCCTCTGACCACCGAGCCCTGCAGCGCCGTGTGGGCACATTTGGGAATCCACCTTGGGACAGTCATTTGCTCCAGTGCTAAAGAGGGAGGAAAATAGAAAAAAAAAAAATAGGAATAAACCGGTACTAATAGCTATTTAATTGCTCGTGAACTTTTCTGACTAAAAAACAGGGGCAGCTCTTCCCCACCCAAATTTGGATTCTGGCTCTTTCCCAGCTGAAGTCATAGCCCAGCTCTCCAGCGGTTTTTTT